ACTTTAATTTTAAACAAAATTAAAGAAACCAATCACAAAAGACTACATATTGTCTGATCCCATGTGTATGAAATGTTCAGAGTAGGCAAATCTACCAAGACAGAAAGTAGATCTAGTGGCTGCATAGGACTAGGAGAGAGGGTTGAAGGAAAATGTGGAATAACTGCTAATCGGTACAGGATTGCTTTTTGGGGTGATGAAAATGCTCTAAAATTGAATGCACAACTTCATGAATAACCTAAAAACTATTAAACTGTACACTTTAAATAGATGCATTGTGTAATATGTGAATTATATCTCAGTAAAGCTGTTTTTTTAAACAGAAAGTGATAGTTGAAAGAGAACCGCATAGATTTATAGAAATAAAAAAAAACACTGAAATTTAAAACTCAATGGGCAGAATAAGTATGTAGGAATTTGAAACAGACAAAGAAGAATGAGTGATGCAGAGGATGATTCTGGAAAAAGTATCCAGAATGTAGCACAGTAAGATAAAGATGTGAAAAATATCACAGAGAAGTATGATTTCTATACCCAGGTAAACTATCAGTCAATAGTGAGAACCCTTTTGAAACTCCAGCTCTGGTTTCATTACAAACTTAAGTGCTCATTGGCATAAGACAAAAGACATAAACAGTAACTATTAAAATGTTGGTTCTGAATAGCATGTCAATTTTACAAAATAACATTTTCACAGTACTTCTTAGTAATTCAGGAAAATCAGAGAAGATGGATTAAGATTTAAGCTTTCTTAAGCAAATTTGAACAAAGTTGAAAACACTGAGCAAAGTTGAAAAGCAGAAGTGGTTCAAATACCATTGAAGTGACAAAATTGGTTTTCACATGTATCTTATGAATCATGGTCATATAGCATTTACAATATATGAATATATTTTGCATTTACCTTTTATTTTTAGAAGGACTTACATGAAAGGTTAATAAGCCACTGATGGTTTAGAGCCATCAGTGTTTTTTAAAAATTTTTTAACGTTTATTTATTTTTGAAAGACAGAGTGTGAGCAGAGGAGGGGCAGAGAGAGAAGGAGACACAGAATCTGAAACAGGCTCCAGGCTCTAAGCTGTCAGCACAGGGCCCAATGCGGCGCTTGAACCCATGAACTTTGAGATCATGACCTGAACTGAAGTCGGACAGTTAACTGACTGAGCCACCTAGGCACCGCTAGTCTTTAGATAAATATAATGAGTACTGAACTTTTTTTGAGTGCTAACATTCTCAGATTGTCCATACAACAGTGACTGGGTGTCTGAAATGTGACAAGTTCAAGACTTTTTCTCAAAATTTGTTTATGCCAATGCTTTGTTACCTTTTGATATTTGTTGAATTGAATCTAATATCTGTATATTCTCACCAAGAACTTCAGACCCATCATCTGTTTTGCAGTCTATTTTTGTAGTTTTTGAAAGCTAGAAAAGAAAACCCCTTTTTATGAAATGAAGAGCCTCTTGACTACCTCATAAATGTATCTTCTTAACAATTCTTGAGCACCTACTGTGTGCCAGGCACAGAGCCACCTGCAGTGAACCAAACAGGAATCATGCTTGCCCTCGTGATATTTACATTCTAATGAAAGAATGGGGTGGAAAGAGACAATTGATAGAGAAATGAACAAGGAAAAGTTGAGCTAGTGTATTAGTTTCCCATTACTACAGAAACAAATTACTACACATGTAGTGGCTTAAAACAACATACATTTATTCTTTTACAGTTCTGGGGCAGAAGTCTGATATGAGTTTCACAGGGCTGAAATCAAGGTGTCTGCAGAGGTAGTTCCTTCTGGAGGCTCTGACAGGAAGATCTTTGCACTTGCCTTGCCAGCTCCTAGTGGTCTTCTTGTACTCATTGGCTTGTGGCCCCTTCCTTGACCTTCAAAGTGCATCACTACAGTGCTGCCTCTGTATCACCTCTCCTTCTCCCAATGTCTCCTGTGTCCCTCTTATATGGACCTTTGTGATTACATCCAGTCCAACCAGATAACCCAAAATAATCCCCTCCTCTCAAAATCTTTGATCTCACTTGCAAAGTCTCTTTGCCATGTGAGTTAACATTCACATTTCCCAAAGCTTGGACTTGGATGGCCTTGGGGAGCCATTTTCCAACCTATCATAGCAAGCGATAAGCACTATTAGAAAATAGCGTGCCATGATAGAGAGGGTCTAAAATAACATCTTCAGGTGGAGTGGTCAAGGAAGGCCTCTCTGAGGCTGCATCTAGGCTAAAATCCAAATTATGGGAAAATGCTGTACAGGTGGGGGAAGCACATTCTAGGCTGAAGGAACAGCTCATGAGAAACTCCATAGCAGAAGTGAACTTGGAGCCCTAAATAAAGCAATCACCTTGGACAGGGAGAAAGTTACAGAACGGCGAACGAGTCTCCAAATTGTATTTGCTTTTCCAGAATGGGAACACTTAAAGCCCCATCCTCCCTCTTGGTATTTTATATGGGAACTTGCCTCAAACTACTATCATATTGACAGAGACCTCTTTTGTCGCAAAGCAGAGTGGAATTCTCATGGACCTCCAGGAGCATCCAGCAAGGTGGAGAGCCCCTCATCAGGCTGTGCAATAAGTTCCGAGGAAGGTAAAACCTCAAAACAAGAGCCTGTTAGGAGTGTGACTTTCAAAGTCTTAGTGATGTTGTCATCTGCAATTGCCTCTTACAACCTTTATTAACATAAACAGGATTTTTGCTTGTTTAAACTCAAGCAAGAGTTAAAAGAGGAAGCCTTGGGTGCCTGCCCCTGGGGAGGTGTGGTGCTGATGTCCAGTGAGACAGGGCCCACCCCACCCTTCTTCAGGGCACTCATGTTCTGGGTGGGGGGAGGGCCACCACAGGGCTTTCTCAGCAGGTGAAAACTGTTGGGCCAAGTGGCTTCTCAGCTTCTCCCGAGTCATTCCTTTCTATGGATTTCACTTTCCTTGATTGGAGTGTCAGGAAGTCTTAGTACAACTTCAAGTTCAGTTTCAAGTTTGCATGAAAGCAACAAATGCACTTGAAGAGCCTAATACAAATGGCCTTTTGAGAGGTCTCCCACCTTTTCACACCGACAGCACCTTTGACTGTACCTCAAGGACACCTTCCATTAGGGTCCTCCGTGAATTCTACTTCTTGCATGTGTACTAAGGGCCAGTTCATTTTGCATTCCTTCACCCACCCTTCTCAGCAGAGCGCCTGACATGGAGAAGATAATCAATACTCATACTCTTATTCAACAATGACCAGGCATCTATATTCCAACTACTAAGCTGAGAGCTGAACGGCACTACTCTTAAATGCCCGAACTGACAAGAACTGACCATTCTCAAAGACTTTTAAAGGAGCAGGAGGGTGCTAACCAGGAAATTATTTCCATAAAGGAGAGTTAAATATAACTGAATATCTGTTTGTAGATTTGCATACAGTCATGAACTTGGTCCTTTGATCAAATATCAACCTTGGCAATCAAATCAGGCCATCTAAGATGCTTGTTAGTTTTATGGTGGTTGGTTAATCTCTGTCTTTTCTGACTCTGACCTACACTGCCGAGCTGTGGAGTGTTAAGGTTAAGCCTCTGCTCTCTTTTCCAGCTCCTCGGTTGACTGCCTTGCAGCAGAGAGTGAAATGACCCCATTCATCAGAAGGCATAGAGGTTAGCTCTAAGACAAAAGGTGACCTGCAAAGTTAAGTCAGGGATTTTCAAGTTTAAATGAAAACCAGCAGACATACTTGAGAGCCTAATACATAATGATGGTAATTATCAGGTCATGAGTTCATTTCAATATGACAAGTGAAACCCAATTGGCAAATCTTATGAACCAAATGTTAGAGATGTGTTAAGGAAGCTACTTCCACTGTCTGAAACCTAGAGCTGATGTGTTATTTCCCCCAACACCCAAGAATACATAATCTTTTGGTTCCCAGGCATGATGTTTTATAACTTGTAAAACCTGATAACATTGTCCCAGTGTCCAAGTAGTTGTCTCTGTTCTAAGTCCAGCTGCATTTCATTCTCTTGGTGTTCTCATCTGGGACACACAGTGCCTTCTTTGTGTACATTTCCAATTGAACTTTATCACAAGAGCAGTTTAGAAGCCTCCTATCCTAACAGTTCATAAAAGATGCAATCGCACTCAAAAGGAAGCTTTTAAAAATCAGAATAAGACCTCCTTGTTGGGAGGATGTCTTGATATTAAGCCGTGGCTCCTGTCCGAAGAAGGCTGTTCTGGATCTTCAGGGTCTGGATCTGGGGAGCTGGGGTGGAGAAGAGAACAAGGAGCACCAGGAGCCACGCACCTGCTCTAAGTGCTGAAAGGAAGAATTACCTGCATGACACCTCAGCTCACCACGGTTTTCTAAATCCAGTAACGATCTCGGGAATAGCGCAGCTATATAACATTAAAGGTCGTTCTTGATGTAAAGTTTTAAAATGTACTGCCGTTTCTGCAACCAAATCTTGGCATTCATTAAGTTTCTAACCCTTTGAGAGCTTCCCAAACTGCAGGTGGCAGTCCCCTTCCTCCATCTACGAGAGCCCATGCTTTCGGATCCCTCAGGTCTTTAGGGTCAGCGAGAGGAGTACAAAGGAAGGGGGTCAAGCAGGGAAATCAATACAACTGGGGAACGCGGGTCCCCCTTCCCGCAGTCCCCAAGAGACAGCACGGAGAGGCGCCCGCGGAAAGCGTGGGTCTTGGGGCCTCACCGTCCCCCGTGAGAGCTCTGTCCAAGTAGAACAGCATCGCGAGGTACCTACGCCTCGCGGGATCCGGGTGGCAGCGTCGCCAGGCGCTCTCTGCAGGCAGCAACCAGGCAGGGGGTGGCCGCCCCGCCTCCGGCGCCTCAGGTGGGGCCGCCCCGCCCTCTCGGCCCAGCTCGCCTCCGCCCCGCCCACCCCAGCCACGCTGCCCCGCCCACCCTGGCTCCGCCCGCCTCCTCTCCGTCCTTCCACTCGTCTGCCTCAGGTGGGGCCGCCCCGCACACCCTAGTCCCGCCCACCCCGCCCGCCTCAGGTGGGGCCGCCTGGCCCGCTCGGCTCGCCCCGCGGCGTGAGGCCGCGTCACCTCAGTTCCTCACAGGCGGCGGCGGCTGCGGCGGCGGCTGCGGCAGCGGCAGCGCTACAACTTTTGACATTTTGGCGGCTGAGCAGCGCGCCGGCACTCCGGGACCGACGGCTGTGGCAGCGGCCGACCTTCGAGGGCCCCTCAGCCGCACCGGCGCTCCCGCCTCCCGCAGTCGGGCGGCCACGAGGCCCGGCCGCGTCCTCCCGCGTCCGCCCGCCCGGCGGCTGCAGCCATGTCTCGGGGGCCGGAGGAGGTGAACCGGCTCACGGAGAACACCTATCGGGTAAGCAGGCCCAGGACGGTCCCGGGACCTCGGGGTTCGAAGGCGGGAGGCCGGGGGCCCCAGAAGGACAGGGGCTCGGAGTTCGAGGCCGGGGAAGCGGGAAGGTCCCGCGGCGTTTCGCGGTCCTCGCCGCGAGAAAGGTCGGGGTGAGGAGGGGACTTGACGCGGGAACATCCGCCCCCTCCCCCTCCCGGTGCTGGCGACGCCCTGCTAGCCACACATTTTACAGCCAAAGGTGGTGGGGGGAGTGTTCCGTCTCTGGGGGGCCGCGTCCCTTTCCCTGGCTCCTCCCTGGGGTGGGGGAGGGAACCGCGCCGGCGTGGCCGCTGCGCCCGAGCTCTTGGGGGCCTGCGAGCAGCCCCCCTTTTCTGCGCGCGTGGACCTGGGCGAGCGGCGCGCGGTGGTCGTGCACGCCAGGTGCACCCGGGGGGCGCCGCGGGCTCGGAGACCCAGCCTCGCGAGGTGACCGGGGTCCCAGGACGCCCCCGCCCCCCGCCCGCGAGGTTCTAATGAAAATGAACCTAACCTGAAGGAATGCGTTGACGCTCACTCTCTTAACTTGCCTTTATTACGAAAGCGTTTTTTTTTTCCAGAAACAGAGATTTGGGATTAGTACGTTTAAGTGCTTGTAAATGAATTCCAGTTGAAATAAGATACGCGTTTAATCGTCTGCTATTAATAGACTACAAAACAACTTTTGTTTTAATTCGGCTTAGGCTCATTCAACACAAGTTCTCTAAATTCATTTATAGCCATTTTTAAGGCCCACCGTTGGGTCACTTTCATGGTTTTTTTTTTAACCCTAAAATTTAGTCTCTCGGTTTGAAAGGTCTGAGTGAATTGTTGAAATCAGAGGAGTTGATTGACTTTTGTAAGATAAGAATAAAAAGAGCGTGAAAATATAGTCGTCATCTATCCTTTGAGTTCAAAATATTGATTCCCTTCATCTGAATACACAGATAGGTAACGTGAATTATACTTTATGGAGAGTTCTGGTAGACACCGTGGACACAGCGTTTTTGGTCTCAGTAGTAACCGTGTTTCCTTAATAGAGGACAAATTTTAGAAATCCCAGAAACTTGAATGTAAAAAGTTTTACATTTGTACTGAGATTGTTAGTATTTAAATGACCCTGAAGATGGTGGGGCTGGCCGTTTGGTGTGCTGACTGTGTAAATAAAACATTCTTACTCCAAGACCTGGGGAATTGGAGCCACTCTGATGAGCATCAGTTAAGGAAAAACTGTATGCAGTTGAGGAATGCAGATCATTGCAGATATCAGGCAGTCTTAGTATCCATTGGGGCACGAAAACTCCGTCAACACCCAAGTTCCTATCTTCCTGCCTCCAGGAAGACAGGCCCATAGATCTTTCCAGTCTGGGATGAGAGATCAATTTGAGACAAGCAGTCAGATGCTCTGAAGTAACTCTGTTTTTTCTCCCACTTCTTCCTTTCACTTTTAGCAGTGACTCAGTGGAGGGGCATACTCGAGTGAATTACAGTGTCGCAAATGCCAACCCCAAAGAACTGGGGCAGGATGCAAAAAGTTTGGATTTCATTGTTTGGGTCCTGCGTATTTATAGACATTAGGCAGTGTAAATCATTCTCATACTTTGAAAAGCTATCATACCCTGAACATCAGAGACCAGTTACTTACTGCTTTCCATTCCTAAGTGTCTTAAAACATAATAAAAGCTCCCAAGTGTTTGTTGATTGACTTTAATTCTCATTTTTCCGTTAATGTTTTGGGATCGTGTTTTTTATGTTGAATGGTGGTAAAATATTTACAGCTCCAGACAGCAAGTTTATATATAGTCCTGGAAGGGGAATGCTGCCTGCTCATGCTTTGGCTATGGTGGAAATGCATAGTGAAATTTTACATTTGCAGGTCTGGTTGAAAGCCTGCAATCTTTCATCACCTCTTCATTGAGTTCTTCCCCACTCCACCCCTGACGACCAAAACTGAAAACAATTTAAGCTTAATATGGTAAAAAATCTGGCAGTGTTGATGATTCTAGCTTTTTTTTCTTTTTTAAAGGATTTCCTTTATGTTACCTAACAATCTACAGTGTTTAACTAATGGAAACTTAACCTAACCAGGTGCATTTACAAAAGCCACCTGCAAATGAGATTTAATGACTTGCAGCCAGTATGGATTTTTGATTTTTTTTTTTTAATACTCAAATTTCTCCAACTTTGAAATAAAGGAATAAACTCTTTGGAGAAAGTGGGGGATTATAAACTAGTGTGACTCTCAGTATGCAGTATCAAGTATCATTCAGTATTTATTCACACATTTACTGGGTTTTCTAAAATGTATACTTAGACAAAAGATTACTGGAGACCTATGCTGCATCCCAAGAGTATGTGTGTTTTACGGCTTCACAAACAAATGGTTTGATAATAAGCCCCAAAATGTCAAGTAAGGTTACTATTGCTAATTAGAGTTCCCAAAGACTCCCTCGCCTTCTCCACATAGTATGCCCATAATTTTGCCCTCAATGCTTGCTTGTGATTTTGCTTTATTTTCTGATGAGTACATGCTTTAGTGGTACAAGGAAGAAGTAAAGTTCAAAAAAACCCTTAATTAAGAGTAACCACAACCTTCCTAGAAGTTAGAACTGTTAAAGCTGTAGGAAGTTGAGGAGGGATGGGCCTGACATCATCCAGGGGTGTCATACCTGCATTAATCTTGCTAAGCAGCAGTGAAGGGGGAAAATGTTCCTTAAAAAGAGGGCGGGTGGGGGGAGGGACATACATGTCTTTCTTTAAATGTCATCTTCTCAGGCCCACTCAAACAACTCTGTAAAATTGTAGACTACAACATCCGTCTCCCAATCCCACCTAACTTTACCTTTCCCATGAAGTGCTTAGTACCTTAGGATATTCTATACAACATATTTATTATATTTGTTTATCTCTCATCCCCCTCTAACTAAAATATGAGCTCCCAAAGGAAAGGAACTTGGCTTTGTTACATTCTGAACAGTTCCTGGCATGTAGTAGGTGTGCGGGTTTGTTGATGATGTGAACATTTATTTGATTTACTTAGTAAACACCCACCCCCCCTTGACACTTTCCATAAAGCATTTGTTTCATTCTAAGTATGAATGAAACTGGAGGTAGATATGGATTTTGTTTACTGTTAAGAAACTGAGGCCCAGGAGTGACCAGCGTCCACATGCATTTACCCTGCCAGCCTCCATTCCTCTCCTTTGGGTATAGTAGTTTAGTTTCTAGTAGCCAACAAATGCACAAATCAAATGCCTTTTTATAATTTAGTGATCTAAGATGTCACCAAAATTTTCTGCCATTTTTTTCATCATCTTTGTTTTCAAAAAAAAATTTTTTAGTGTGTTTATTTTTGAGACACACAGACACACACACACACACACACACACAGACACACACACACACACACACACAGACACACACACACACACACACCGTGAGTTGGGGAGGGGCAGAGAGAAAGGGAGACACAGAATCCAAAGCAGGCTCCAGGCTCCGAGCTGTCAGCACAGAGCCCAGTGTGGGGCTCAAACCTACAAACCTTGATCGTGACCCAAGTGGGACACTTAATAGACTGAGCCACCCAGGTGCCCCTCATCATTTTTGTTTTGAATAAAAATGTGTTCAATAAAAAAATGAGGTACTTTTGTTCTTTTGTCAGGCATATGTACTAGGTTTTGTTCATTTAATGGTTTTTTATTTTCTGGACTTGGGTTTAATTGGGGATGTGTAAGTGAAAGTCCCTGTCTGGTCAGCTTCCAGCGTGGCCTGTGTGTATGGGCCTAGCTCATGTGTTTATTGACACGGCTATCTCTATACACTATTTGATATCTTCATCTGTCCCTGTAACGCTTTCTTCAGGTATGCTGAAGATAAAACAGGATTTGCAGAAGCCCAGACAGCTTACACTTGGCTCCGTGAGGACTGTAAAAGTGGTCAGTAAGAATCAGGTGCCAGGTAGCAGCAGAAAGCGTTGCCAGGTGTCACATATTAAACAGAACAGCCCAGTATTGTAGTTTTTGGTCTGGTGAAGTGGAAATACAAAGCCAAACGATGGTTGTCTTTTTTGTCATAACATTTTTTTCCTGATTGGAAGGAGGTTTTAGACTATGTTAACATTATTGCTGTGTAGACAGAGCAGTGTCCTTTATTATGAAGCTTGGGAGTCTGGGACCCTTGGCCAGGTGACACCATTCACAAGTTTCAGGTTGCTTTTGATTTTAAATTTGTGACATTATTCCAGTATTGGACATTAATTCTTGCCTGGCACTTGTGTTGTAACGAGCCACAGGCAGGCCTGCAGGTGAACCTAATGTGTGTGGAATGTCAACAAATTGGATTTTTGTTTTTATCAGCATTCCACACAGCTGTTTATTCTGTAATTCAAAAGTAAAAATTATTATAAAAACTTTACAAACATTAATTTAACTTACCTGTTGACATTTGCAAATATATTTTTTATTTTTTAAACTTTTTAAACTGTAATATATTGAAAGGTGTGTTTTGGTGTATATAGCTCACAAAATCATCACAAAGTGGAGATGAGTATAACTAGCACCCAGATCAAGATGCAGACCATAACCAGCCCCCCTTGAAGGCCCTTTCATGCCCCCTTTCCACTGTGCTCCCTCCAAAATAACTTCCTTAACTTTTCACAGCACTGATTAGTTTGGCCCATTTTGTCTTCTTTCACCCAGTGTGTTTGTAAGATATGCCTATGTGGGAGTAGTTGGTTCATTCTTTTCACTGTGTAGTATTGCACTGGGTGAACATATCACAGTTTATCTATTCTCTTGAGGAACGTTTGGATTGTTTTCCAACTACCCCAGGGTATTATGAATAGTGCTGCTATGAACATTCTCACACATGTTTGATGGACACAGGCCCTTATTCCTCTTGGGTATATACATGGGAGTAGAATTGCTGGGTTATAAAGTATTTGAATATTTAGCATTGGCAGAAACTGCCAAGCACTTTTCCAAAGTGGT